ACCTGACTGATATAGTTAGGACGGCAATAACACCCTCTGTGGCCGGCAGTGCCGCCCTATGCCGTATCAGCCAGAGTATTGTGTGCTTGAACTGATATGACCTGTCATATGCATCACTTTTATTCATGTGACACTTTGTTCAGCACCCCCACAGTCAGGCATGGATATAGGGGAGGTTCTCATCACACCTAAAATGTGAATTGTGGTCTTTCATGCCAAATTGAGAATTCAAATATCTATTCATAGTTTTAGGGAGAGGCTCCTACACCCATGGTTCAAAAATCTCAGTTTAGATTTCATATCTTTTGTAAGCTTTAATTGGGTTGTCATCAATTACCAAAAATGGAGAGATTGTAAGTGCAATCAAGCCCTATTGTGGGTTTTGGCATTGATGACCACCAAATTAGAAGACTAATGAGATTTATCGAGATGACAAGCAGGGAATCGAAAAATGAGGATGATGTATAGGTTGCAGGTGTCCTAATTACAAAAGGTGGCCAGACCTAGCTCAAAGAAAGTTTAAATTCTTTTATGTTTTGAAATTGAGTTTAGGGAAAGCCGTATTATTAAGAGGGATTTTAGGACAGTTGGTCAACTATTGAACCAGATGCTCAAATTTACAGATTTACATCCTCTCACCTAATCAAAACAGCCAGCCAAATTTCATATCATCTTACCTGTTTTGGCTAGGGCGGCAGTGCCACCCTGTTAAGAGCGGCAGTGCCGCCCTTAACTGACCGTTGGGCTCGAGGGGTATTTATACCCTTCAGGCCCGGCCCACAACAGTCATCTTCTTCACTGAGTCATTCTATTCGAAATAAGACAGAACCAAAGCTCACTTCTCTCCTCCATTGTTGCTACTCCATCCCTCAAGCAAATCCTTGATTCCAACCATCAAAACTTGAGAGAAAAGGCAGCAAAACTCGATTGGAGAGCAGGTCCACTGATTCCCAAAGTCTAAGAGCATTTGGTTCACGTTTGGCCGGCGGTTCTAGGGTTTGTTACTCTTGGAGCTTGCTCCTAGCTGGCTAGGCGTCGCCCTTGAGCTTGCCTTAGGAGGTTTGTAACCTCATTCTCGAAACTAAGAAATCACCTCTCACTTTAAGAGTTCATTCTCTTGACTTGAGAACGAGGGTAAGGCAAGACTTTGTGGCAAGCCCAATCCTTTTGTGGCTTCCTCAACAACGTGGACTTAGGTAAACCTTTGTGGTGAGCTGAACCACAGAATAAATCTTGTGTCTCGCGTGCTTCATCTTGTTTACTTGTTGGTTTAGCTCATTGCTATCTGTTGTTAGGGTTTGGTTGCTCGATCCACTCTTGTGTGGAGTTTCTATGGTATTCAGTCTTCGAACTGGATCTTGTTTTTCTATTGCAGGATTAAGCAGCTAGTGGGGTTAGGTTCATCTCTGTAAAATCTCATTTGTGTTAGATTTATATTCGTAGAGCGGCAGTGTCACCCTCTGTTCTAACAGAGTTTTGAGTTAAATTTTTACATGCCTATTCACACCCCCTCTAGGCCTCCTTTATCTTCCTGTAGATCCTACAATTGTGTAGAGTATTGATATTACAACTTGTACACTAGGATTACAGGCTCAAAAAAAACCCCCACAAGGCCCAATGCCAAGACAACTAGGCCCATATATTGTACGGTATTGGGTGTGACAGACTTTGAACACTCCATGGTTTAAAACAAAGAAGTTTTATTCTTCTACGTAAAAGGATGAATTAGTTTGTATCGCTGGCAAAGGAAAAGTCAAGGAAAATCAGCAAAGAATGGCCTATCCAGTTCATGCCAAGAGCAAGAGTCAAGTTCAAGGATAGTTACGGTAAAAATTGTGCGAACAGGACGTCTTTGTGCATAAACATTAAATATAACAGCACAATCTTTCAGAATTCAGAAACTCAACAAAATAGTAAAAAAAACTTTAGTTATTATGGCAATTTATTATAGGTGCCTGTTGGCATAACTAATACTCCTATGAGAGAGGCATTCATTTTGTATCATGTTGAATTAGACAACAGAAGACAACTGTGTAAAAAGTGTGTATAATTCTGAAAGCAAGGTATGAAAATAGAACATTAAGGACAACCATGGTCATTAAATTACTATGTGCACATGAAATTAGTTTGGAACTCCAGTAACTAGGGTGCAGCACACAAGACTTTTCCCAAGTAAAAATGAAATACTCCCTCCGTTCCAAATTATAAATCGCTTTGACTTTTTTTTACATCAATTTTACTATGCATCTAGATATAATAATATGTCTAGATACATAGCAAAATAGATTAACAAAAAAGTCAAAGCGACTTATAATTTGGAACGGAGGGAGTAGTTAACTTTATTACATATCATTTCCATATCTCATTCATGTTGAACTTGAAGCTGTTAAAATATTAGCCCATGAATCATCACTCACTTAATCTGTTCTTGACAGTAGATGCCCTATAGGTAACAAGGTGGCAAGAAACAATGTTCGGCTTGCTTAATGTCAAGCACATGATTGGTCAACAATACTGGAACAGCAAATTGTATTAGGCTGAGAAGCCATCTTAATGTTTTATGCTATAAAATGCCTTCTAGAACACAGGCACTTCCCATTGACACTAACATGGTATTTTTAAATGTAATCCACTACGAGAGGATACAGAAACTACCTTCAGTAACTACCAATTATAACAAGCAGTTGGCTACTGTCAAGCGTTTGAGGCAGAAAAAGAGCCCCAATGGTACTTGACTCAAAGAATGTAAGGCGGTAAGCTGGTAACTACATCTTCTAGGCCGAATTTTTTATTTTTCAACCTTTTTTTTGAAAAATATTCCATGACCTTGGCACCATGGCTTTTGGCGCCGAAGAAACACGTCTCGGCGCCATGGCCAATGGTGCCGAGGTCTTGGCGAGGCGTCGGACGTGGCGGTGACCTGGCATCGACGTGGACAATGCCTCGGTGCCATAGATCTTGGCGCCGTAGATCTTGGCGCCAAGCTGTTACCCTATAGCTCTTGGCGTTTGAAATGAAACAAGTATAATTGTTCTGAGGAACATGTAACAACACTATTGCGGTTCAGTTGGTTAGGACACACGCGACTTAGCTCAAAGGCCTGAGTTCAAACCCCAGCGCTAAGTCTTTTTTGCTACATTTTTGTTAAGACTCATACTGTATGTTTGATGCTTTTTTTTTACCTGCAATGACACTGAATAGTTGCCTCCGGATATGGTTTTTAAAACATGTCTAGTGCCCTGAATTTGGGAATTTGGGTACCGTAGCACGTTCGTTTTTATTTGGCAAATAGTGTTCAATTATGGACTAATTAGGCTCAAAACGTTCGTCTCGCAATTTCCAACCAAACTGTGCAATTAGTTTTTTTTCGTCTACATTTAATGCTCCATGCACATATCGCAAGATTTGATGTGACAGGTACTGTAGCACTTTTTTGAATTTTGAGGTAGCAACTAAACACACGCTTATCTGTATTTTATTGATACATAGTAAACTCAGGTTTCTTTTTTTTGCTTGCATCTCTTTTGTAATTCTGACTTTCATATATTCTTGTGAACCATAATGACATGTATAAGGATCTGTTTCAGCTCACTTATGCCCCTTAAATATTATGTTAATCATTGTTACAAGTCAGCACATAATGGAAAAAAAGTGTTGCTCTATGAGCATTCATGATTGTATGCAAGACATAGCCCCTTTCTTTTTTAAGATCCGACAAAGTCCGTTGTCTTCAGCATTAAGCTTCTAGTTTGCTCCTTTGATTAGTCAATTCCATCTGTATCCTTGTATTGTTTCAAACATTTCCTAAATCTAATGTCCTGCTCTTGCACTTTCCATCTGCCTGCATTAGCTACATAGCATTTAACATTTCTAGCTTTCATTAAGGGTCAAATATTGTGCAGTTAGCAGGTAATATTGTTCAAGTATGATATATTGTGTATCCCTCGCTATTCTTGCATAAACTATTTCTGAAAAAAGCAATGCATGTATTTCTTGTAGGGACATTTTGAAAGGATAGACATTAGTACTCAATACATTTTCCAAAAATGGCAAAAACGTTTGAGAGATATGCAAAAAAAAAAAAGAATCTCAGGACCTGCTTGGATGGGGGTATTGGCTAAGATTAACCTTTTTTGTTCAAGCACTAAAATGGCCTCAAGATATATTTGCATAGAGTTGGCTTTACAACTTGAGAATAGTATCAGATCAAGACAACAACTAAACCTAGTTAAGTAAAAAAGAGATAGAATGATACTGCTTGACAAAAGGAGCCAACCACAGGCAATATGAACATATGGAATAAATCAAAACTAAACCACATGTCCATGAAGGCATGAATACCAGCATAATTGACTACTTGGTTCTCACTTCCCACTACCAAAACTCAAGGATAACACAAAAACCATACTACTCAGTTGAAATAGTATTACTGATAATAATGCTTGAGAAACAATACATGAAGCAATGCTCAATCAGCCCGTAACAAAAAAAATGCTTTATCCCCTGGCCAAAAGTACTACAATCACAATCAGCATGTTCGCTTGTTGGTTTCATCCAGGACTTATCAGTTAGCCAATAGTGTTTTCCTCTCACAACAAACAAGCACTGGCCGGACTTATCAGCCCAGAAACAAACCAGCGAACAGGCCGAATAGCTTAAAACCAAATCATGCCACAGATACCCCAGTTCTGGTGTGAAATCAAATTCAAATCCACCTATAGCTCACCCTTATGATCTAGTAAACTTATAGTACCACTCAGTGGAAGGAGTATACCAATAGTATTACTTCAGAACGAGTATGTATACTGTGTTCAATCAACATTTGTCATTATTCCCCTAACAAAAATTGCTGATTCCTAGCTCAACAATCATCGACTTAGAATCAAATTCAATCACGCTGCAGATATTCCCCCGCCAGAGTGAAATCAAATCCAAATCTACCTATGCGGATGCCTCATACTCAAGATCCGAAAATCTCGAACCGTAAGGCGGACAAAATCTTACGAGCTTGCCTTTGCTTTTCTCCGCCGCATGACCATAGTGGACCCTTGAGCGGCGGGCCTCGCCGCCTCGGCCTCGAGACGCTTCTTGTTTCGCTCGAGCGCCTCGCTGACCTCCTTTTGCATGTACTTCTCGTCGTGCTTGGCAAGCACCTCGGTGCCGCGCAAGAAGCACGCGCACTCCCGCGCCTTCTTGGTGACCTTCCTCCCGTCGTCGCGACGGCGGAGGTCGCCGGTGAAGAGCTTGAGGAGGCCCTCGACGACGACGGAGTGGCCCTCGCGGAAAAGGCCAGGCAACGCGCCCTCGCAGCGAACGAGCACGTTGGTGATGAGGTCCGTGACGACGGACTCAATCTCGAGGGAGGATGGCGAGGGGTGTGCGACGGAGCCCTCGAGGACGAGGCCGCCGAGGCGGACGCGGGACTTGGAGGGATCGACAGTGAACTTGGCGAGCATGTCGGTGGGCGTGACGTAGAAGACGAGCTGGTCCTAGAACGTGGCGACCACGGTGACCACGAACCCGGCCCGTGCGGCGGCGAGCCCGTGGGACCGAGGCGGCGTCTAGGTTTACAATCGCCGCGACGGGCGCGATGCGATGTCCATGACGCTGGCGGAAGGAAGAGGGCCCCGACCGACGCGCGTGGCCGTGGCGGCGAAGTTGTGGAGGAAGGGACCGGCAGGGTGGCGGTGGGGGTGGGGGGTGGCGCGCGTACATCGCGCGATCGCGTGGGGTGGGGATGGGTCCCGGTGTGTGGAGGAGGGTGGAGAGGGCGCCGGGTTGAAACATCACCTCGCCGCCAGCATCTTTGGCGCCAAGCTCGGCGCCAATAACCACGGCGCCAAACTTGGCGCCAAGATCCACGACACCGAGCTGGCTGCCAAGTCAGCGTCCACGCCGCCAACGTGGCCCCAACCTAGGCGCCAAACCCTCTAGCGCCGAGATGTGTAATCTCGGCGCCACCAACGATGGCGCCGAGCTAAGGGTCCAGATTTTAAAAGGATGCCTCTAGGGACATATTTGTGAATAACTTTAAAAAAGGGCCAAAAAAAATAAAAAATTCGGTCTTCCAGGTATCATCTGGACAGAAAATATCCATCTCTGTTTCGCATCCGTCATAAGGAATCAGAAGCGGAGCCAAAAGTCCCACGTCCACATTGCCGAACAAACATAAACAGAGTACCATCAATAGATACTTTAAGTGCACTGCACAACCTTCTTGGTGCCTATATAAGCAGAATGGTAACTTAGCACTTGTAAATAATTAAGAGAGGCAATGAGGTACTGTTAAGAAATGATAGTACAAACCAGATGCCAGCGCTTGCTTAATGGAGACGAAGAAACTTGGATCTCATCTATGTCAGGTAAAGGGGGTGACCGGAAGCAAAACACCTTTCTTTTGAGGTCATCCCTAGCACTTGATCGTGCGTAAGATCCCCTAGTTATGTTTCCATCCTTCCAGACATCCTTCAAGTAAAATAAGATTGGCTTCTTGCATAAAGACTTCTGAACATCTCTAGTGTCAAAATCAAATTCATTTCTCTGACTCATCCTATTATATGCAATGTAAGTACGCTGCGATCGCTCCAAATCACGAGGAAGAAGAACATTGGGGTATACTTCAACAACATAGCCCAACGAGATAGCAAATGTAAGTTTTTGGCTTTGATCATAACAAATTGAACGCTGCAGGAAGCTCATGGGTTCCATTTTCATAGCCTTCGTAAACAGCTCCAGACTCTCAAGAGAGTTCAATCCAGGGTATATGGGGTCCACAAGCTCCACATGGTGGATACTGATGAAAGGAACAATTGGATGAGATGCCAATAACCCATGAGCATTGCCTCTGATATCCCACTGATATATGACAAGAAAAAATGACATTAGTAGGTTAGTAGGATGGATGGGTTTTATCAGCATATATATACTCAGGCTAACGAAGCTGAAAATCAATCTAATCTAATTTTTTATTACGATAGCAGAAACAAAAAAAAAAGTAATAAGCTATTATCGTTCTCAAGCACATACACATCTAATGCCGATTTTCAGAGTGGCATTGAGAGACAGAGACAATACTGTAGAATAACCAAGCAAATCCTGGCAAAAGTGTCCAGGGAAGAAAAGCGTCCGAACAAAAGCAACCTTCGAGTCCTACCAAACTTTCCTTTCACTGTCATAACCACTCTGGCAATGCCCTACTTTTGTTGAAACACAATCAATCAATGATAAAATTGACCAGCTCAGATGGGGCAACAGTGGAAAGCATTACCTTCCTTTCTGCCCTAATGAAATAAGTATGACTGATGATATATGGTAAAGTTCGAAACATCAGCAGAGGCATCCAGACCAACCTCTACATTGGGGAATGATTCATGAAGACTGCAAACAATTTTTGGGGGTGTTTACACATAGAATGTGTAACTACTCGCGAATGGAAAAGAGGGATCAATCCACGAACAAATTTCATTTGTGGCTGTGGCTGAGAGCTAGTTTATGAGGAAGTCCCACATTGCTAGTTAAAGCAATACTAAATGGATCAGTCGATCAGAGTTGTAGGCGCCAGCTTTACAATTCAATCCCGGCAAAATGTTGAAGGGTAAGCTAGATACCTGGTGGAATCCGTACTCGCGGGATAGGGGCACGCCGAGCTCCGTAATGCAGGCATGGAGGCGATCGTCGCTTCCATACAGCTTGGGGTACCTCTCGATGCACACGTCAAGCGTCTGCGCGAGTGCAGCGGCGAGTGGGAAGCTGAGCGCGACACCGCCACCTCCGAAAGCCATGCTATGGCTGAAGTCGGTGTTGGCGGAGTGGCTCTCGGACGGCGCCCCGACGTACACCATCTCCCTCCAGTCGTACTTGCTGAGCACGGCGACGAGGTTGTCCGCGCACAGCACGGTGTCGTCATCGACAAGCACGACCCACCGCGCGCCCGCCCCTCCGCCGACGAGCCGCACGGCCTCAGCGGCGATGCGTGCGATCCGGAGCCCCGACGGGTGGCCCGTGGGGTTGGTGTACCTGAAGCGCGAGGTGTCCTCGGACACCCGGATCGGCGGGAGGGAGCCCTCCCAGGGGGCGCTAGGCCCCGGCGCGGCGGGCGCGCCCGCGTCGAGCCAGACGTTGCCGCGCATCGCGGCGGGGTCCCACCACAGGCGGACGTGCTCGCGGCGGCGCGGCCAGAGATGCGCCGACCCGGCGATGCCGAAGACGATGTGGCCGAGCGAGAGAGGCGAGGCCGCGCCGGGGCCCTCGGCCGCGGCCACGGCGCGCGCATCCGACAGCGCCGAGTGCTCAGATGCGGCGGGGGGCGCCCCCTGGGACGGGGAGAGCACGAGGAGGAGCCAGAGCCCGGTGGCGAGTAGCAGCGAGAGCAGCGCCAGCACGGCCGCGGCAAGCGGGCACTGCCGCGGCGGGACGAGCGCGAGCGGGAGGAGCGGCGGCTGCTGCGGCGGCGGATGCGGAGGTGAGGAAGCGGCGTAGTGGGGCTTGGGCATTGGACTCGGTGGTGGACGCCGCCGCCGCCGGTGGCCACGGACATTGGGGGGTAGCGCAGGCGGGACGTGGCGATGTTTTAGGGATGGACGGTGGGGACGGGTGGCGGCCTCTCCTTACAGTTGTTAACACCACGCCATTCCATTTCAAATCTCACTTGCCTTCCCCCCCACCCCCCCCCCCCCACACACACACACCACCACCACCACACACACACACACACACACACACAAATTTATAAATTTACAATTAATTAATTTTGAATCTCTTCTCCTGATCGTGTCTTTAAATATTCATTCGGATGGTTTGAATTTTTGAATTCCAGATCACAGTGTCAAGTAAGTAGTACTATGTAATCTAGAGACCATTAAGCTTGCACGTGGAGGATGGTGACAGGATTGCTCACCGCTGATGATACGCACAGCTTTCTATTTAGCTTTTTATAAGAGACAGGGAATAAATGAATAATATAGGTTTCTGACTTGTATTGTAGGTGAATGGTACTCCAAGCTTCATCACGAAAGAATATCTTGTTGTAGTGGGCTTCAAGCAAGTGCTGCAAGGCAATGCCATGTGTCTAGATATCGTCTTCGCAAACAATTCTTTTTATGGGGCCTGTTAGAATATGTTCTCTCCTCTCATCAATCACTGTTGAGATGTTTCTGTAAAAGTTTGGTTACTGTGATGCGAGATACGGCTAGGAGAGATCACAAGTGTGGTTCAGTGGTTGGCTCGAATTAACTGGAAGTAGTTGGGATGTGTGAGCTGAAAGTTGCATCACAAGCAACGCATGCTGCAGCATTTAGGCCCCGTTTAGATTTTCCGTTATATCGAATTTTACGCCACATGCATGGAGTACTAAATATAGATGAAAAAACTAATTGCACAGTTGGGTGAGAAATCGCGAGACGAAACTTTTGAACCTAATTAGTTCATAATTAGACACTAATTGCCAAATACAAACGAAAGTGCTACAGTGGCCAAAATCCAAAAAAAAATAGATCTAAACGGGGCCTTAGCGGGTGTCCGGATCCGGTGACTAGAATTTAGGATGTGTCACGGGAGAGTGTCGCATGGGATGTTCGGATACTAATAAAAAAATAAATTACAGAATCCGTCAGTACTCCACGATTCGTCTAATTAATCCGTCATTAACACATGTTACTGTAAAACTACATTGTCAAATCATGGACTAGTTAGGCTTAAAAAATTCGTCTCGCAAATTAATCGTAAGTTGTGCAATTAGTTTCATAATTAGTCTATATTTAATATTTTATATATGTATCAAATATTCGATGGGACAGCGAGTAAAGTGTAGTAAGAGAAAACAAACGCCCCTAGATCAGTCTGCGGTTTGTCAGGAAAATAATTACTGTGCTGTATGGTGTACGCTAAGCCTGATTGTTTGCTAGCGTAAACTCTGAAGCCGATGAGCAAGCGTGTCCATGTGACCGAAAAAGGTTCGGGGTTTGGTTTGGAAGCTGCAAACATCTTTTGCTCAAAAAGATTGTGGAAATTCTGGTGCTCCATCGTTGTCCTCGATTCCTTATTCCGTTATTCGTATTCGTATTGAGATTGAACAGCATCCGTCCAATTCTTCCTCTTCCCCCAGTCTATTTTGTGTGGATTTCCTATCTTTTGTTTGGGGTCCCTGGCATCCATATCTTGATAAAAGCTCTGTGACACTATACTGGTATACCACATACTCCCTCCGGAGTACAGTACACTTCTGCAATTCCAAAAAAGTCCCAAAATAAACGATCTCTGGCAGCCGAAGAGAAAGTACGGACTACGGACTTCAGAAGCCACGCCACCTGATTGGATTGAGGAAATAAAAAAAAACCGACGGAGGCTCCTGTCCACGAGAGTATGTTAGTTCGTTTATGGCTACAGAAGCCACACCACCTGAAGCTTTACGAGAGTATGTTAGTTTGCTATTATATGATCGTGGATTAGTGTTTTTCTTTTATTGTTTACGACGAAACGAACTGCCTACAGGACCTCGCCGCGTCGCCAAGGGAAAGCTGGGTTTTTTTTTTTCATCGGGGCACTGTCCATGCTCAGCTTTTTATAGGGCAGAAATGTTATTTTACCGGTATATTGGTTTCATGCCCAAACCTAGAATGATACTCCCTCTGTCCCATTGAGTTTGTCGTTGGAAAACCGTGCCCCCCTCACAATCCCGCTTCCCGAGCGACAATCTTAACGGGACGGAGGGAGTAAGTTATTTTGTGATGGGAGGAGTAGCTCGGAGGCAGAGTCCGTACAAGTGCATAGTCTGACAAGGCACTTGTGAAGGTAACAGAATAAACAAAAAAAAAAGAAACAGATCACTGGAGCGCTTCCTGTCCACCCATTCGAACTAGTCATTCATCGAGTTGTCGGCCCGTGTTTAGTTGAAAAAAAGTTCTAAAAGAGTGCTATAGTATCTATTGCGATATATGTATGGAGTATTAAATGTAGATGAAAAAAAAATTAATTACACAGTTTGGTAGGAAATTACGAGACGAACGTTTTAAGCCTAATTAGTCCATGATTGAACATTAATTGCCAAATAAAAACAAAGGTGCTACAGTAGTCAAATTTCAACTTTCCCCTCAACTAAACAAGGGTTCATTAAAAAGTAAGAAAATGGACGCCGAGCCTATTCCTTTGTCTGGATGGTTCTGGACTCTGCGAACTTGCACTCGGCTGCCCTACGGTTTCATAGGGGCACTGTCGCCATTTTACCTACAGTTACATCTATGGCATTGCCTAGAACTAAACGTATAAAGTCAGTTTGCGTTTGTTTTCATTTTTTTTTAAAAAGAGAAGAAAAATATGGATAAAAAGCTTGGCCCTTGGTTATAGCTCTCCAAGACTCTACCCACATCTTAAGTTTTCACATATAGGATCTACACTTAACATAAACCCATCCTAAATTGTTTTCTTTTTATTTATGAATTACACAAGTACAAACACAGCCGCTCAACACGTACGCACACTCACCCTATAAACACACGTACACAAACCCTACTGAAAGGACCTAGTATGTCATCTAGAGGGGGGTGAATAGACGTTTCTGAAAATTAACACATTTAAATGCGGAAACAATTAGAAAGGGGAGTTTCCAAAATGAAAACTCCAACTTAAGAGTACTACCACCCCTCACAAGTTAGCCACAGAGTAAACAAGGTATAAAGAATATATCTAGAAGCTACAACCCTGCAACACCAAGTTAGAACAGAGAATAAATATTTTCAGTGCAGGCAGGAAATACCGGACGTGTCCGGTATACACGATTTCTGCAGATCAGCCCTGAACTTGCTCCTTTCGATTTCTATCTTCAAACCAAACTGCAGGAAACTATTAGAGATAGTAATATACACAGAGAACCTGCAGAATAGCTAGAGCAATACAAATATCAAATAAAATGCGAATTGAGACACGATATTTGTTTTACCGAAGTTCGGACTCGTTCGAGTCCTACTCTCCGTTGAGGGGGCTGCGGGCGACCCAGCGAAGGTCAGCCCTAAAGGGTACCACGAAGGTCACTCTAGCCGGAGTCTTTTCCAACTCCTTTTTCTCCTTCCACTAATTTGATTCCGAGACGGCGGAATCGAACGTTACAAACTTTTCGAGGCACACCACAATCTCTCAGGTGCTCTCCGACGACGCCTAACCGTCTAGGACCGAAGAGTCCAAGAGTAACAAATGCGAATCACGAGATTGACAATATGCACAAGTGCTCAAGTGGTGGCTTGCTCTCTTTTTCAAATTCTCTCTTAACCCATAAATTGATTTTGCAATTTGGATCACACACTCACTAAGAGAGGGTTTAGGAGAGTTGGCAAGGCTCAAAGACGTGTGTCTATCTCAGCAGAATCAGCAGCCTCCAAAGGTGAAGGCTTGGGGGTATTTATAGCCCCCTTGAAAAACTAGTCGTTTTATAGCCGTTGCAATACCGGACATGTCCGGTATGACATACACTGCCCCAACGGTAACTAAGTTACAGTGAAGTTGTGAGGCGTCGGAACTCCCGATGAATACCGGAACTCTCGACAGCCGAAACTCCTGACTCACGTCGAAACTCCCGACCCTCAGTAAATTTGAAAACCATGTAACTGAGTTAAAGAATATGAGGTGTCAGAACTCCCGACACATGCCAGAACTTCCGACCGTCGGAACTCCCGACTCACGTCGGAACTCCCGACCCTCAAGGCTTTGAAAAACTAGCCGTTGGCCTCTGGTCGTCCATACCGGACACGTCCGGTATGACCAGGACAGTGAACCCTCCAAGACAGTTAAAATGAGAGACGTCGGAACTCCCAACCCATACCGGAACTCCCTACCGTCGGAACTCCCGACGAACCAACCCGAGAACAACATTTTTACAGATACTGGGCAAATACCGGACACGTCCGGTAAGGCCAGACCAGCAACATGTCAGTTAGCCTTTTTGTCTCTCAAACACTCAAATCTCACATGGGTTGGCTTGAGCACTTATGAAACATTATCTATCAACATGAGGCATCCCTCTTAATAGTACGGCATACCTATTAAACTAAAGATCAAAGGAAAAATGGATTTATACCACTTGAGTTGATCTCTTTTGAATTGATGCCATCTCTTTCAATCTTCATCAAGTAAGGGTGCTAACATGTTGATATTGATCCTTTCACTTGAGCATAGCCATCTTGAGCACGTGACTTGATTCCATTCATCAAATTTGAATAATCCCAAATGTATCAAGTCACTTCCATCAAACAATCCAATAGTGATTTGATCCTCCACATAAACATGGCCATCATAGCTTGATTAGTACCTCAACTAAATGTAAGTATTTTCTTCTTCACCCTAGCTAGGTTCTTCGGCCACCAAGCTGTCGCTTGCCATTCACCCTTGCTTAGTACCTCGAAGCCTTTCCTTGCTATCTTCACCATCTTAAGCCATCAAGTCACTTCTTGTGTTGAATCATTCATTTATTTGTATTGTTATCTTTTTCATTTCAATTTAGCAAGCT